AATTCCTAATAAAAAGAAGAATATTTAATTAAACGAAACAAACAAAGGAACTAGAATGCAATTGAAGTATTTTCAGTCTCTTATATCCTAATTTCTAAATACTAATAATGTATTTTATCTCTACGATTAAAAATAATTGATCGATGAATCATTAACTGTGTATTATCTCTAATCCTAAATCACATAGGGGGACGATATTCTTATGGTGAAAATAAGATAGTACGATGGTGTACATCAAGTCACGTTCTCGAGACTTGTCGGGAGGAATAGCTGCATGCATACTTCAAGGTCATCTTAAAGAACCTACCAAGCGTTGCAATTACACTCCGTAGCCACGATGTGTTTCGCAAAATGAAAGTTGCAATTTCTAATGTATTTAAAGTAATACGTATATGCATGTACATATACATATATAATGGTATATGTCCCCTTGTCTGTCTCTTTATCCTATTACACATATCGCAGAGGTATATCTTCAATTCTATCTATCTCTCTCTTTCTATAATTCAACTATCCATTTCACGGCTCGTCTAACATTAAATCTCTTTCGCGTGACGTTCTCTGATTGCAAAAGAAGGTTACAATTATCAAAGACACTTTCACGTGTCACGCAACGTTTGGATTATTACGTTAGTTCGAAAGTATCGAAAATTAATGAAAAGAGTGGGGAAAAATAATAAAAGAACAAACACACATATATGATGGTGCCGATTTAACGTGTAATAAGTATTGACACGTAATAGAAATATTGTTATTAAATTCAGATAAGTCTCACAGAGAATTTTGGACGGTTATTAAATCTTTATGAACGATTTATTTCGAACCAAACGAACAAGTTGTACGTTTCGTCCCTTTTTTGGGACTTCATCAGCAATCCGATCGTTACAGTTCACGATTCAAAAATACATTTTATCTTTTTTTCAGAGTCATACATTTTACAATATAATTTCTTCCTAAACACCTTTATATTATCACACGTAATCAAATACTACTATTATTAAAATATAAACAAAAGAAGAGTAATGATTAATAAAACAAAAAAAAACAAAAAACATGCATATATAACTTAATAAATAATAATGATAAATATATATAGTAAAATAATGAGATAATTAACGTAGTAAGTTGTATACACACACATACATACAGTTCACGAGTCAAAAATACATTTCAACTATATTTAACAATTTACAATATAATTTCTTCCTAAACACCTTTATATTATCACACATAATCAAATACTACCATTATTAAAAATATAAACAAAAGAAGAGTAATGATTAATAAAACAAAAAAAAACAAAAAACATGCATATATAACTTAATAAATAATAATGATAAATATATATAGTAAAATAATGAGATAATTAACATAGTAAGTTGTATACACACACACATACACACACGTACAGCAGGTTTAGGATTCGGCTGACCGCCTTTAGACGAAGAAAGCCGAAGGAAGACGAAGAAGGAAAAGAAAGAGATGGAAAGGAGTGGGGATGGCGTGTCGGGGAGGAGTGGGGAGGGGAGAAGGCGAGTAGACGCGAGAACAGACGAACGGCGGCGAAGTGGGGCGGAGTGAGACGAGGAAAGCCGAACTGAGACGAACCGAGATAGAAAAGGAGTTCCGAGTTGAGTGTGGAATTTGCTGACGCGCAGCCGAGCGCCGGCAACGCAACGTGGCGGCTGTGTGCTGTGTGCCTGAGGCCCCAGTCAGCCTTTTAAATGTCTCTAGTTTAAATGTCCAAGCCTCGAGTAAGCAACGAATGAACTTCTTTTACCCACCTCTATCTCTTTCTCACTCTCTCTCTCACTCTTTATACGTACTACGTTCTTATTTTTTCGTGTATAACACTTTATCTTTATTTTTTCTGATTTTTTTTTTTTTTAATACGAATGAAAGAAATGGGACGAAGCGTTTCGAACGGATGGAAAGGGAATAATACATTTATTTGTTGCCATATTTGTAAACGGAAGGAAATCCGGACATCGTTGTCGAGAAAGAGAGAGAGAGTAGTTCTTGATAGGAATTTTATATTTAAATTATGTGATGTCTTTTTTCTTCTAATTTTAGAGTTTAACACTAGAACTACGAACCGGTCAAAATGACCGGTTGCATTATTTATTTATACCATTTTCTTCTAATATTCCTATTTAATATTTTACGATAATAAATAATCTATAATATTTCTTCTATACACAAATTTAATAAAAATCATGACATTATCGTAAAATATTCAATAGGAATATTAGAGGAAATGGTATAAATAAATGATGCAACCGGTCATATTGTTAATAAAAATTATTATTGATTATTTGTTTGTTTAATATATTACACGTGATTTTGTTTCTTTAATAATTTTGATTTAACCAACAAAAGCGCAATTGACTTGACTCGAACGATTAGTTATTAAATTGCCAAAATTTTTCCATTTAATTAAATATCACGTTTCGACTATCTAATCTGAACCTTAAAAAAAACTTATCGTATTGATTTTTATTCATTGAATCGTTCCTCTATCAAAGTTAGTTAGTTAGTTAGTTCGCAAGTTTTTCTACTCTATGACTAATTCATTTCTATTTAAAGTTTTATAATACGATATATATCCTTCATTAATTTAAAATTATTAACATAAAATGCGTTGATAATAAAAATTAAGATCGAACTTTACGAATGTGAATTTAAAGTTACATCGAAAGATCGAGAAATTTCATTTCGACTTTATTGAGACCAAAAAGGGGGGGG